TTTTCAGTATTAAAAATAAAACATTATACTAAAATCGTATTGCATGAGAGTGTCTATGAATTATATAGAAAAAAATTTTTAAATATTGAATACAGCAAAAGTTTTTCCATCGTGAGACACTCTGTATATTAATATATTATTTTTAACGATACAGGACAATCTTTAAATGATATGAAAAATCGAAATATTTATAAATTTAAATGTTTTTTTTTGGTGTACTACAGTACTACTGTAGTACAAGTATAAATTTAAACTTAAAAAAACAATAAAATAAGTACATTTAATGTATTGTCTATAATATTATATAATAACTATACATTGTATCGTTGTCTAAGCAGAATTATTTGTCAATTATGAGTTATAACTATTATTACTGCCGTTAATCGAAAAATTTAAAATTATAATACAACCTCGATTAGATCGATACTTGGCCTCTGTATTTGTTCAAATTTTTCAAACTAATCAAAAACATTCGTATCGTTTTATTGTTTTCAATGTTTTCTTCAACAAAAATGAATAGGTATCAAATTCATAACAAATTTCAAAWAAGAAATACTCAACTAATAAGTTTAGGACAAGTTTAAAAACAGTATAAAATGATTGTTTTAACAGTTGTCTGCTTAKTTATTCATATACATGAAGTGTAAACAATAAGTGTATATTTTATGATCTATTAAAAAGTATTTCATTTTATAGRGTATTGAATAAAATAGCGAAAATGATTAAATTTATCTTCTTAGAGTTAATATTTAGTTATTCGGTAATTAAATTTAAGTTATTCTCAATCCATTGTAATATAATATATATTGTTTAGTTTGATTAATTAAGTATGTAAAAAGATCTATTATACTAAAACAGATAGGTTAAAGCAAAATATCAAGAAGCTGTGAGGTAGAATTCATAAATATTTTAGATAGATAGTATARTAAATTGTAATATGATATTGTAATCTATTTAACCAGTTACAACATAACTTAATTAAATGGTTTTACAATTTTAAATATAACTGTGCAATTATTGCCTTATTGTTAACAAAAGTTATCCAAAAGTATTAACAATTTTTAAGTAAGTTTTATTATTTTTAAAAGAACATAATTAAAAAAAAACATAAGTTTAAAAGGAATCAATCCAATCTAGTGACAATAGTTTTTTTGTCTTTCATATTATGATGAGATTATTATAGTAATAGTTTATCAATTTTTTGTAGCTTCGTAAATAGCTTATAATTTAATATTAAATATTTTAAAAAATTTTAAATTTTCCTTTTTTTTATGCTATCTGATCCATATTTTCTTTTCCGTAGTTATTTATTAAATATACTACGTACTCACTACTTACTACTGTAACAATTACAAGTATCTTCAATTTTATTGCGAAGTTAACTAGAAATTGTAATGAAGTATTTTTCTAACCTGACCATCCTGATCTTTGTCAGCACCAGACTGTAAGCCTTCCCAAACCTTGAGCAGACATGATCGGGTCTTTTCTACTTTTTCCGAGTCACCGCTCCAGCCTCGTAAATTACAAAATCTCTGAAAAATAAAATCAAAGTTGTACAAATAGTATTAGTATTTTTTTTTAATCAATAATTATAATTATAATTATAAGGGTATAGAAAATAGTTACTTAAAATAAATTAGAATTGAGACGGAACAAATTAAGCAAACTTATTTCCTAATCGATAAAAATAAAATGTTTTTACTAAATATAACCGACGGAAAATTATCTAATCTATAAACCGACTTTAGTTAAAAAACAAATGATTTTATTAGAATATTAAAATTAGAATACGATTGACTTAAGACAATTTATAAAATGGGATAAGTCATCTGATGTTGAAAAAACAAAAAAAGATTTGAAAACAATTTGAAAACAATTTGCAATTAGTTATTTGATTATTATATTATTATGATAATAATAATGTATTAAAAATAACAATCAGTCATAATTATAAAAACCATGTACAATACGAGAACCACAAACTTTGATACTGTAAGGTATTAAGTTGATATTTTTTTTTATTTTCATTTTAAAGATAATTCAACGAAATATAAATTCAAATATCACTTAAGCTCATCAAGTATTTAAGTTTAAACTTTGAAGTTTTAAAACATAAGATATAACAATATAATATATATTAAGCATCAAGTAGGTATACCTAATATACGAATCTGTAGTTTGACCAGTTCATCATCTTTCTTTGAGCTAATCAATAATAGATTTTGTTTTATGGTTTTTCAATTTAACTTTAAATGATATAACCGTCTTACTTTTGTTATATTTTTTATTGCTTTATCACATTAGACTTAAGTGTATTCGTTTGTTTTATTAATTATTTGAGATCAATGTCTGATAAAATGATATAAATACTACAATAAAAAATATTTGAAGAAAAATTTACAAAATATATATGTATAAAATATTTTACATTTGTCTGATGAGTTAATATCGAAAAAACAAAATTATGTACATAGTAAAAAACAATATGATTGACATTGTATGTGTAGGAACCTACCGATTTTTTTGAATTATTATTTATATTTTTACATTCAGATGAAACGTATATATGTATATATAAAAACAATATTTAAACGAGATAAAAAGGATGAAATTCATAAATAATAAATTATTGTATTAATAATTGTTTTTTTTATACATGTTTCATCTAAAAACATAAAAAAAATAAAATTAGATAAAATTGTAACTTAATACTTAATATTTATTTGTTTTCCAGTAAAACTTTTACTTTTATAAAAAKGCTTTCAGTTATAGAATTTTCAATTTGATCTAACAATTTAAAAATATTGCCTAAGTGTATACAACTTTCGATAAAAACTACAAAAAACAATTATTTATTTTGATTAATCATTGATAACATGATTGAAATAAGTATTTTTATTAGGACTAAATAAATTATACACATTGCTTTACAGTTTTATTACATTTTGTACAAACCTTAGGATCTTAGTACAAGTAAATGTCAAAGAATTTTGTTTTCATACAACTACACAATTCAAAAATATTTGGCAGGTTACCTACCGTAGGTATAAGTTTTTTATTCTTCTGTTTAATATTTTTAAAATAAAATATGAAATACAAATTATTATTATTATTATTATTATTATTATTATTATTTAATAATAAACACTTTATTTGGGAATAATAAATAATTAAATTACAAAAATGTATAAAAAGGTTAGTAATCACTAATCTCTAACATTGTTCGGAGGTTCGGAGTACCTTTTCTAAAAAAAAAAAATAAATCATCGTAGAAAAATAGGTAGTTTAAGTGTGTAAATATTGAACAAATAAATTAGATATAGGTAGGTAAATATTAGGAAAGTTTGTAACTCTATTTTATGTTTGACACTTAATTTAAAAACTTTTTTTCCTCAGTAAGCTTATTAACACATTTAAATTAATTAACGCGCTGTTAGATAATTTCAAAGGGTTATTTGTTTTTTTTTCATTATTATAATTAATAAAGCATTGTAGCAAAAATTAGTTTTAATCAGTTCTATAGTAATTTGTTTTAGTTTTATATTGTATTTTAAGTGTATTAAGAGTATTAAGAAGATATATATTTTTATAGTCTTTATTAAGTACAAGTATTCATTTTCAACACAAACGCCAATCTGTGTGGACGGTTCTTTAAGATGGCGGAGTACTTAAAATCAAAGTCTTCGTTTTCCTTTGTTTCGTCATTCCATTATGAAAACTTTATCTTATCCCATTTAATTCAGTCGTTTTAGCTTGGAATCACTAAACTTAGCGATTTCAAATTTAAATTATTTATGAAATAAAAAATAAATTTACAAATGATAMAGTCATGTTTTTAATTCTATAAAAATAACTAATCATATATTATTTTAATGAAACATATTACACATTACATATTATGTAATACTTATTAATTTATAAATTGAGTAAATTATTGGAATATAGTCATTTCTCAGTTACTCAAGTTTAAAAGGAAAAAAAAATTCACGTTTATTTAAATTTCGAGATGTGAATAACCGATTCAGTGCTATGGCGTTCAATAGAGAAGTTTATAACCAAGATATTGAGAAGGGTTCGAGTTATCGAAAATTGACTATAATATAGAGCGATTCACTTGAATAAAATATTTTTAAATAAATAAACTTTTTCTGGATACCAGAGTATTATAGTAAATTGTCAAGCAGAGGATCTTTTCCATATAATTGCATCTAAATCGATATTCTAATGAGTTGTTTCAAAGTTATTTAACATTAAGTACAGAATAGAAGTTTTATGAACTAATAATTTTAAACAATAATTAAAAATTAGTAATAATAGTTTTATGTAAAATATAAAAAAGGTATAATATTTATTCTGGTACCTACTTATTATATTCGTACAATTTTCGCGTACTATCAAATATTGATATAAATATTATTAGTATAATAATTTTCAAATCATCATATTTTCTATATGTTTTAATAATATTATCCTTAGTACGTTAAGTTTAAAAATTCTAAATTCTAAATTTAAATTAAGATGTATTGGTTTCATTATAAAAATCATCAGCTAACAATTGACAATGAAAAAATGCAGTTTACATTTGGAAAAAATAAGTTGGTAACATCATAAGAAAATCTTTAAATGTTATAAAATATCTAAGTATTTGAAAATAATTTCTTTAGGTAACTATAGGCAGGCATACTTGAAAATTATAAAAACCAGAACTTGAATAAATGTAATACTAATGAAAAAAAGAGGGAGAACAATAGACATGCTTGGTGAATAATATACCTTATTATCTTAGGAGATGTATATGTTTATAGGTACAGGATGACCCACTTAACGTAAGTCACTCATAATTATTGTCTTACAATGAGCGCCTTTTCATGTGAAATCATTTTTATCATCTTGAATTTTGGAAATAGAATGATTGAACTGAAGTCGACAGACAACCAAAATTTAATAACTTACTGACGACATGGTATCTTTAAAATGTGAATACAGGAAATTGCAACAGCCTACATCGCACGCCCTTTCAAGCACTAAGTCACGGAGGTATTTTTTAATAAAACGATAGTTTTCGATTTTTATGATATTATGGACATCAGATTTTGAATGAGATAGTATATAATAGGTATAAATTATTTATTGATTATCACTGCCCATTATGTATTGATGTATTGTATTATTTATAAAGACGTCGTTGATCCTTCAGGACAGTAAAAAAAAAATTATATACTTTTAAGTTATAACTTATTATAAAAATAATTGAAAAATTGTACCATATAATATAAACTGTATAATATTACATTATTTATACAACAACAATGTACAACCATGAAAACTATTTAAGGTTTTTTTTTTTATAATTACGGAGACTTTTCGATTAAAACCTGAATTCTTACAGAATAGTTGCCATGGATGTACCTATATATTTTATTTTAACTACATTTTAAGGATTTTTTATAATTGTGCACATTATTTGATTAAAAACCGAATACCTACAAAAATGTATTTAGAATAAATATAGGAACATAATTATAAATTTAATTTAAAAATAACATTTTCGAGAACAAAATATTTCGCTGTAATTAAAATGTGAAACGTTCATAAAATACCATTATACTAAAAAAATGTGTTGATGTTTTAAGATGTATTAAAAATATGATGATATTTGTTCGAATATTCTCAATATCAAAAAATAAATAAATGTAATCTATTTACATTTTTAAACAAATTACTTAGTATTMTTCCTTTAACCATAAGGAAATTATTGAGAAGATTTCACCATAAAAACTTATTCATAAGATAAAATTTCCAATCTACCCTATAATTACAAACATACAAATCAATAAATAACAACTTTTCTATTTGTCAGTCTCTAAACGTGATAAACAATCCTAAAAAGTTATTTTCAAATAAATACTTTTTATCTATTATTCTATGATCTATCTATAAATGGAATTTAAGGAATTATAATATATATAATAGTGTCGTTAACTCGTGAAATATAATATTTTACGTCATTCAACATAATTAAAAATAGAAAATTTTGTAAAATGATCTCAGCTTATAACTTAACAAGGGTTTTACTTTGCTGTAATGTTTATATATATATATCTAACATTTTTAGTACTGATAATAGTTTGATAATGTTTTTTTTCGGTGTATTGTATACATTTAGTTTCAAAGCTAATTGAAGATGTGGTTGCAGTTCACWTCAAAGTTTTAAAGATTCTCTACCTGCTACTGTGAATTAATTTAAATTATAATCCAGCTCGTAGATTTATCTAATGATTGCGGACACTAGTTACTGACAAGGGTTTAACCCCATTTAAATTACCATTGTTGGTACATATATTTTATTCTAGCATATGCCAGTAAAATGTATGAATAAGAGAAGATAATAATTAAGTGAATAATCTTTTATAGTAAAACATTTTTGATAGCCATCGTAGTATTATTTTTACACATAATTAAATTCGTTGAAAAACAAAATTGTAATCGCTTTAACAATGATGATTAAATCTTATTAAATTGTATAGTCACT